CATGTGTGTGTGTGAAGTGTGATACTGAGTGTTGCGTGTGGGACATCCAGGGTGATCCAGAGTGCGAACAGTGAGTTGTGTGGGCGCTCAGTCGCCATAGCCAGTTTGAAGAGAACTCTTATGTGGATACGATATCTTGAGTACTGAGTGGGGATTTGGGCGCTCAGTCGCCATAGCCAGTTTGAAGAGAACTCTTATGTGGATACGATATCTTGAGTACTGAGTGGGCGCCTGTCGCCAATTTGCTGTTTCGCTGTTTGCATACATGACAAGTTGAATAATTGTAGTGTGATTTCAGAGCAACCGTGGAGAGTGTTCTTGTAATAGGCGGTTCCTCCCCTCCCCCCCAACCCCAACCCCAACCCCCAAACCAAAAAACAAAACAAACAAACAAAAAAAGGTGCAGGCTGCAGTGATCAACCGTGGAGTGTTGTAGCACTAGGTCGTTTCGCAAAAAAAAGAGAGGTGCAGTCCGCAGTGATCAACCGCGGAGTGTTCTAGTGACAGGCCGTTTCGGAAAAAAAGAAAAGAAAAAAGAAAAAAAAAAAAGAGTGGAGAAATGGAGCCATCAACAAGGGGAGGTCAGTACTCGAGGTTGCTCTTATCAGCTGGAGCAGAGGTGCATCCCAAGCTGATGCTTATTTCAAAAAAAAAAAAAAAAAAAGGTTGACGATGATGCGGAAGAGCAGGAAGAGGGGGAGGAACTGGTACACGTGGAGGAGGAAGAAGTGGCTGAGGTGGACGAGGTGGTCCCAGGTGGTCCCAGGTGGAAGAGCAGGAAGAGGAGGAGCGCTGATTTGGTTTTCGGGAAGCGGCGATGAGATACAAGTGCTGATTCTGAAAATGAAGCCGACAGTGACAGGTCGTTCCTCGTGCTGAACCGGGCGCTCACCCGGTCACCCGCCCTCTGCACCTGGTGCACGAAAATGGACTTCCCGAAGGACTTTCTTCTTCTTTTTCTTTTTCTTCTGCTTCTTCTTCTTCTTTTTTTTTTTTCTTTTTTTTTTCTTTTTTTCTTTTTTTTTTTCTTTTTCTTTTTCTTCTTCTTCTTCTTCTGTTGCCTCTTCATTTTGTCCCATTTCGACTCCTCCCGGTTTTCCACTTCCTCTCCTCCTCTTTTGCCCCGTACTTCTTCGCTCCTGGAACCTGCTCCTTCCTCTCCTCCTCCCAATTACACCCCTACCCCCTACCCGCCCCCTTCCCTCTCCCCGTTCCTCCTTTTCTTCTCCTCTTCTGAGCTTACTTTGGCCCCCTCCTCCTCTTCCTTTACCTTCACTGCTGCTGCAGCTGCTGCAGATGTCTTCAATCGGCTTGCAGGAATGATCGAAATCGCCTTTCACCCCTTTCTGCCATCACATTTTCTGAGCTCAGAGAGAGAGAGAGAGAGAGAGAGAGAGAGGAAAAATTCCCCACTCACTCATACATTCCCACCTTCCGCTCGATTGGTGAGTGATCACATTCTTAGATCACACACACACACACACACACACAGAGAGAGAGAGAGAGAGAGAGAGAGAGAGAGAGAGAGAGAGAGAGAGAGAGAGAGAGAGAGAGAGAGAGAGAGATGAAAAATCTCCCACTCACTAAGTATCTATTCCCACCTTCCACTCGATTGGTGAGTGGATGGCCGACGATGTGATTCGCTGTTCGGCCATATCACGCCGTCTGGCGCACCCAAGATTAGCTACCTTTCAAGGCGGCCATGAAAAGGCTGACCGCCAAAAAAAATCGAAAAACAGAAGATTGTCAAATAGAAAACGAGAGACAGGCTGACAGCCTACGAAGATTGCGGACCCAAGAAGGAAAAAAGAAAGAGAAAATCGAAGTTGATTGTAGACCAGTTTCTGTTTCTGTTTGAGGCAACACCAAAAGAAGGCGGGGGGAGGAGGGGGTATAATAAGGAGGAGAAGGACGACCAGAGAGAGGGATGAGAAGGGCTGCTTCGTATTACCTCCGCTTCTCGGACCATGTCTGCAACGTAGCTTCGCAGCTTCACCTGCTTCAGCCCATCCACCAGGAACCGAAATTGTTCCATGCGGACAGGGTAATCCACGTCGAAGACTACACCTGGTCCAAAGGTTGGCACATTGAACTGGTACACCTCCTTCTGACTGACCTCCTTTTCGGGAGCGCGGAAGAAGTGCCCCGACACTTCTGGACCAATCAGGAATGTGAACTTGCGATGAAGGAGTCGAACGGAGAAGACATCGCCGCAGAGCTTGTGACCCGTAGACATCAGGCCAATGGGATCGGCAGCAAACTTGACCATGCCGCCGACGAGAGGAATAGTAGGCAGCATGGGGGGGTGTTTCTTGGAAGAGAAGAAGCGCCAGATTGACAGCGAAGTAGCGAGAACAACGGCCGTCAACAGAACCAAAACGCAAAGGAGAACCGTGCGATCCAAGGGAATATCTTGCAGCCATCTCCCTTGAAGGAAATGGAGCTCTCGCTCCACCTGCTCCTCCAATGACGACATCTTTCTATCTACGATTACTTGCGGTCCTTTCCCTTCTTCCTCCCTCCCACTCCTCCCCCCTTACAGACTCTCCGAATATCAATGACTGCTACCACCTCTCTCTCTCTCTCTCTCTCTCTCTCTCTCTCTCTCTCTCTCTCTCTCTCTCTCTCTCTCTCTCTCTC